TCTCCAAGGCTGGACGTGTGATTGTGACCAGACTGCATCTCCGTCCTTGGGGACGGTACACTGAGTCCCAAAGGATATAAATTCCGCGGTCAACCTCCCCTCGATCCTGCCTCTCTTGCTTGGACTACTCGGACACCCAACGCCTACCTCGGATACAGTTTCACGGCCTCTAGACCGAACAACAAGAACAACAGAGCAGCGTCCGATCTATCGACCTGCATCACGAAGCAGCATCATCGCCTCTCGCATACCTTTCATCCTTCCTACCGCCATCTTCCCGACTACCAAATCTACCGTTACAATGTGCAAAGTCTACTACCAGCATTACACCCGCTGTGGCCACACGGAGGAGCCGCAGCTCGTGGCTTGCGCTCGGCGCAAGGCCGATGGCACATGCCCTGCTGGAGTGACAGACGTCTACAACAACATCGCCAGCTACTGTAGCCACTGCTGCCAGTATGTCCTCCATCTCTCCGTGTCCGCTCTTGGAAGAGCTACTGACCTGACACACGTCAGATAGCCGTGGCGATCCTCGACTGTGAGGTTATACCTCTTGCGCCCGAAGTCGCACGAAACCCGATCCAACGCGAGTAGAACGACGGCAACAAGAGCGAACCTGCAGCAGCGACACCCCGTTCATCGCTGAACAGCGCTGGGACTTTGCGGGTGGGACTGGAGAGGGCACTGTGGGCTGGGCTTGTTAGGCTTGAACATTCTCTTCTTGTTGATATTACTCGACCGCTTTCTGTTCGGTGCACTTTCCCACTGTCTTTATCTTTTCCGTCCTCAGTTACGCAAGCATTACTTCAATCTAGACTTTCAGAATCAGCCATCCACTGAGAATACTGCGCGTTGGAGACTATGCTATGGGCGAGTGGCGCGCCGTGAACACCCTGACTTGAGCTTCGGTTGTGTGGGCTGTTCCAACGGTCCCAACAACGTTCAAGATCAATGTGAACGTATATTGTGTGGTCAAGTTGTCCAACAGACCGTAGTGCTACATAAGGCCATACGAGCTCCGTATTGCGCCGTTTGCTTACAAGGTTCTTCTAAGATGCGGCGTCCTACAAGAGCGCCAGTTGCAGCTCCAAATGACAAGCGCAGAACAAGATGTGATTCGCTCGCGACCTGAGGATGACCAACTCGGGAAATAGGTCAGCATGTCTTGCCCTATTTTTACTGGAGGACAAGACGCACCGCATGATAAAAGCATAATCTCGCTTTCAAGTACTAGACCGAAGCTCCATTTGACCATGACGGAACGCCGTTCGATTTCGTCCTGTTGTAACACCAGTGTTGAGTTGCACACGGTCCTGGACCCCGACCAGTAGAAAGTCTTGGACACGTGCTGATGAACCAACATACACAACCTCCATGCCAGTCAAACTTCCAGACCTCACCCCCTGAACAAGCAAAAGTCTAATTTGCGTGCACCCGTGACAGATACGGGCCTATCCGCCTTCCGACCAAACGCGGACAGCAGCAGCCCTCCTACCGAAAACAGCATTTGGGCAACACCTTGTACTAAAGTGCTTTGTAAAGCGGTGCGCGACATTCGGCGAGCGACTTGAGGACGGCGACCAGAAATGACACACCTCCGGTTTCCCCCACTTTTCTCCCGCTGCAGATGGAAAGGTCCCTGCTGAAGAAAAAACCTCACAAAGCCTTTTTTGCACCAGAGAACCGAGGCTCTCACACGGGCTCATCTGATCAAATGTACTTGTCATCCATGTCTCCATACTGCATTCTTTGCTCTGACCAACACTAGGACCAGCCCAGGTCATTGCTGACGTCGGGGCTATAGTGGGGAAGCCCTGCAATCATGCATCTACACATCATCATGTGACAAACCGCCCTTACGTGTCTACAAGATGACCAGGCCGAACGGGGAAAATCTGCCTTGTGGGGCGTGGCTGCCCCTGCGGCGGCCGGATCTGAGACCGGGCGGCCTTGTTTGCTCCTTCCCTCATCGACGGTTGAATCGGCTAATCCGCTTGGCCCCCAAGGAAAGTGATCGCCTGTCAGCCCAGAGCCAATTTGAACGTCACCTCGTAACAAACACATCAACCACGAACCTCGGACGAGTATGACCAATGAAGAAGAGGAAGTCAGTCTGTCTCAGCAGGTAACCGACATTGAGGATGATTTGCACAACCCGTGATGCGTGCAGAAAGCGCAGGCAGGCAGACAGACCTCTTGGTTTAAGCTCACCATACCACGACCCTATCTGGCTCCAGTTCTCGCATTTCTAGTCGCAGCTATTCAGACGCCGAACCGCTCACTCTCGGACTTATCGCCGTAAGCCTTCCTACAACGATTCAAGTGCCCTTGAACGGCAACTAGCCACAAAACCCTCAAGGAGGAAAAAGAGCCTATCAAGGGCAGAGCAAACTCTGTCCACTGCATATGATGCCATCGCCTGTCTCGGAAAGATATCGTACGGCCTTGTGTGACGGGGAGACCTTGTGAGTTGCCGAGCTAGACACCGCACCAACCAGCCGCTGAGCAGGACAGCCGCGCAACGTTCGTATGTCGCATGCACGCAACCTTGTCTTCACGTGGTTCGCGGTTGACACAAAACGGGAAGAGACATATGTCAGAAACAAAATGGCGACATGCTTCTCGCCACTTTTTTTTAACCAGTACCCGGCTAGCCAACGTCATCGACCTTTCGCAGTTCCGTTTTTAGCCCCTGCCTCCACCATGGCCAGACATTGACTAATTTCGCTTTGCACCACGACGCCAACACCCTCTTCTGCATGTCGACGAAATGAGACTTGGACAACGGTTTGCGGTGTTGGATGCGACACCAAGACGGGTCCTATTGCGGAATGTCCTCAATGTCAAGCCAATTCAAATGCGACATAAAGTCATCAGCCACGTTTTGGTGCCACTACCTTGCGGTGTTGAGCACAGAAAACAAGGTTGTAAGATGCTTCGTCCAGCATCCTGACCTCAGTTTCTGCGGTACCAGTGGCACGGCGGCTTGTGGCATCGGAGCAAGCCATGCGAACACTCTTAGTGGACCATTGGATGCTTACACGCGGTATGAGAGCCGACAAGCGAAGGGGTGTGAGCTAAAGCCCACTTCCCGCACGCCCTCAGACAAGTAGAACAACGTTTCCATGGGGCACATGTAGTGTGAGCAGACGGCTGCAGATTGTAATTTTTGTCTAGTCTGTTGTGCAGGACACGACTTCCGAGGGCCCTCGCTTGTTTCCAAGGGCGCTCATGACACCATCAGAAACAAAAGGAGCCAACTGAAACGAGCCCAAGAGTATCAGCACGACCATCAATCACTATCTTTAAGTGAGGAAAGAGGCAGGCTATTAACACGGAAAGTTTTCAGGGTCCGAGAATGATGTACTCGGATACTTCACGATGCAAAGCGACCACACTTGGACGGACAAATAGTAGATGAAGTGCCTCAATCACCTGATCAGTCGTGACACGATATCGTCATACCCGGGCAACCAACAATACGTTTTTACCTGCTTTTGTCTATCGATCCTCCCTCGATAGTGCAGTTGGCTCGATATCAACGTCAAATATCGGACCCGGTCTCATCAAATGCAGGTCCGCGACTATTCGGAACCAACCGATCCAGTTCTCTTCGCTCTGTGTGGTCAGCATCGCGCCTGTTGGGAGTTAGCCGATAAGGCTTTGGAGGATGGTGAACCAACAGGTAGGGGCTGCCCCACTATCTCCAACGTCCAACCGTCATTAGAGCGCATTGCAAGACAACTAACATTACTATATTCGAGCTGTGATGAGGGCACCATCGCATATGACACAACGGATGTATGGCAAGCGACGATGCTATTGTTATCGGAGTCACCGCGAGCTAACAGTAGAGAGTTGCCTGGTCTCAATTCCCAGCTCTTCAACCTTGCGGCCAATCGTGGCCTGGCCATTTCCAACACGGCCAGGTCATCGCCAGGATTGGGACCCAAAATGCGGCCCATTGCCCTCCATTCAGAGGGAAGATCCAAGCCTTGAGATCGCAAGACATAAGGAGGCCGCTCCATTGTCAACGCCGATTCGCAAACTGCCGCGAGATATGCTTCGGTCGTGACCACCTAAGCCTCGCAGACGCATCTGCGGTCAGATTGCATCATGAATCTCATCGTCCAAGGATTCGTAAACCTGATCATCTGTCAATTACCAACGGCCGCGGCTAATTCATCTATGTAGGGCCGACCCTGCAGCTTGGTCTCTCCAATGACAAGAAGGAGCATTCACCAGCAAGTCAAGTAGTGCCTCCCTGTGATATGGGTCTCCCTATGCCTTACCTTTCGCCCTCCTCTTGATGGCATATGGCCCCCAATCCCGGTGATTCATGGCGGCCTCACAGAGGCAGGAAATAGGGGTCATCTACTGATGTTGCAGCGAGTCTGCCCACGGCGAGAGGCTGTCAAGAGTCAGACAAGTGCTCACCTCTTCATCTTGGCATGATGAAGAGATGGTATAGGCCGCAGTGCTGAACCCTCGGAGATAACTCTTGACCACAGTAAGCCCAGTACCGGCCCATCCGGTCCTGAACGTGCCATAGCCAACATCGCCTGGTGAAGTCTCCGTGACAGCAATCGTGACTCACATCGAACGCTCAGGAATAGAACCAGGGGCATAACCGTTACACCATGTGAAGATACGGACCGATTTCTCTTCAAGCCCCCTGTTTCACATCATAATCAGACACTAGACGTCCGCCAACATCTACTGGCGGCGACAGTTCAATGAAGCCTAACACCAACAACGCCTTGAACAGAGAACTTGATGGTCAGATATCGGTACTGGTTGGAAGAGGGAACCTACTGGTCAGGTACCCGGTACAGCTCTCCCGAGTTCCTGCGCAATCCCTCCTCCTCATCGCATGAAGCCCAACCATCCCATGGCCCGAGTCCTACTGTGCAAGTCACAGGAAGCTCAACCAAAAAAAGTGCAATCACGCATCAGGAGGTCACGCCCCCAACCCACCTCATCGTCACCAGCAAAAAGGTTGATGAGAGTGGGATTCGAACCCACGCCCTTTCGGACTACGGAAACTGAGAGTTTTAAGGTTTTTGGAGACCTTAACGTAGCGCCTTAGACCGCTCGGCCATCTCACCATGTTTTTCCTTTGAATGTGTGATTCTTGGCGATTATGAGACAATGCCGGTCGCGGAGCTGACTGGCGGTGCGCTAACTGGGCCTTATTTTCTAGCTATCCACCAAGTCATCACCCAGGAATGCCCCCTAAGAGCCCCGAAAGAATAAAATACATCGTATAGCCGTATCCGCTGAGAGGATGATTCCGGTGATCGTACTCATGCTTTTCGCTGAAAGTTCATACTAGGCTGTCTCGTAGTTAGCAGTCTTGCGAAAAGCATTATCTACTTGATATCTGACTAGCCATGCCCTGTATGACACCACGTAGCACCATTGGAAGTCGGTCATCTGAGAAGCAAGGCGAAATCAGACATAGCAGTGAAGGCTTGTAGGAGATCAGAGGCCGTGTGCTGAACGTTGGAGGCGACACTCTGCAGCACAGAATACATTCACAGTTTACATAGCCAGTGACTTTTTGACATGTTTCTTATTGCCAATGGTCTGTCTGATGCTCAACTATGACCAGAACGAGGAATCCTACTCGGTCCTCAACACGCCGTCAAAAGCGCTATCCCCCTTCTTGATCATGTCCATCTGCCTAACATTCCAGCAGTGCAGTGGTGCCAATCTAGTGATCAAGAGGAGGAAGATATAATGTACAAGCACGACTCAAATTATTACAACCAAAGCCGCCGTATGTCCCCTTGTGCCAAACCTCGCTGTAACTCCGCAATGCAATCGACAACAACTCATATGCCCCTGTCTTCTTTCTTAACATTTTTCTGTAGTCTGCCCATATTTATCTCAGTCATGCTTCACCTTCAACACACTCGTCCAATGCAGGAAATAGAGTAAGCCTCCAATATGTGGGTATCGGAAGCGTCGAAGCGCAGCCAAGGAAAAGCCAACCATATCAATGGCTAGCGTAGTGTTCAACTATCACGCACTGAACCTGCTGCCGCTCTCAAAATGTCTCTGTTGGCCCTTAGTCTCTCGGAGGGGATGTAGGAGAACTAAAAAGCGCAATGTCAGTTCCTGTCTAAGATTGTGAAAAGGTCCGAGGCCGTCACTTACGTCTGATCATTCCTACCTCCACGACCACGTCCACCGGTTTGCGGGGAGAACGTGGGGGAGCTCGGGGAGAACTGAGGACTCATGGGAGATCTCTGGAAGCCAGGGCTAGTCGGGGTGTAGACCGGCGACGTGGGCGATGCTCCAGTAGGAGACATAGGTGTGAACGATGGCGACGCGGGCGAGTACGTCGGCGAAGTGGCGTGCACTGGAGATGTAGGGCTGTAGTTGGGGCTAGCCGGTGAGTATGTTGGCGACGTAGGCGAGGCACCCAGTCCCGCTCCTGTAGGTGAGTAAACCTGCCGGGCTCCTGCAAACGAGGGAGATGCCGGTGAGTAAATGGGCGATGAAGGGCTGTAAGAGTTCATCGCTGGCGACGTGGGAGAGAATGACGGCGACGATGGGGTGAAGCTGGGTGACGAGGGATACCGAGGGCCACCGTCAATCATGGGCGAAGTGGGAGTGTATTGAGAACCAGACGGCGAGAAGCCTCCGTGATTGTAGCTGCCAAAGGGCGAAGTAGGCGACGTGCCGAAAGGACTAGTCGGGCGAGGGCTAGTGGCCGAAGAGTAGGGATTGACGGTGCCGAAACCACTGCCGCCATAGTCTGTGTTGAAACCACGAGGACCAGCATCATCTGAGCCAACAATGGGTGAGAAATTACCCATGTTGGGCGAGCTCATACCACTCGTGTAGCCACTGTCAGCCATGGGAGAGCCAGTGTCATATGGTGTAGCACCACCCTCGAACTGATCAGGCTTGATGGTCATGCCGGGCATGAAGCCCATACGAGAGTTATCCGAGATGACGGTCTCCAGCATCTTAGGGTCTAAGAGCACGTCAAAGTGGCCAGTCCCCATAGGAGCCATCTGGCCAAGCATGACATTCTCCGAGATACCTCTGCAATCGTCCAGTTCACCAATGGCAGCAGCTTCGAGGAGAATTTCAACAGTTTCTTCGAAGGAGCAGCGCATCAAAGCACCAGTGTCAGCCCGGTTGATACCGTGACGAGTGACGGCGGCAATGCTGCCTCGGTAAGTCATGATGTCGACGAGTAGAGCGAGATGCCGGTGGTTGACATAGGAACCGTCGAAAGCCAAGACCTGGGTAAGCTCCTTCATGAGGGCAGCACGGGCGGCTTCAATGCCCAGCATATCGACAATTTGCCACAAGTCGTTCGTGCTAGTACGTCTAGCGTCAACGCCCTCCACAGTCAGGACGTCACGCAAGGAAGTGCCCTGAGTATCCAGATACCATTCCTTGCATCGTGGATCCGAGTTGGAGTTGAGCAGGCCACCCTCGTCAGTCTCGATGAGCTTGGTGCCCTGAGACAAGAAGGCTCTCTCAATGCCCCTAACACCACGAAGGGTGCATCCATCGAGCAGATGTGTCTGCAGGCGTTTGAGCATGACATCATCCTCAATCACCTTGTTGCCCTCGTCATCCTTGTCGTCTTCTTCAGTCTTGATGACGCGAATACGCAAGACCATGTCGTCCGCATTGTTGTCGCTGTAGATAACAGCGAGATCGTGCTTGTAGAGCTCCATGATGCGCTCGGCAACATCATCCACCATCAGACCCTTGTCAAGCATCTTTTGCCGGTCCAGTGTGATGCGAAGCAACCAGCGAGACTGCTGCGACAACTTCTGCTTGACTTCGTCGTTGGCGTCGCCAATGAGGAAGTGAGACTCCACCAGGTCCATATCTTCGGGAATGTTGGTGGATCGTACGTCGGGATCGTAGTAAATCTCCGTGACAGCTGTGACGGATCGCAGGCTGGTATGCTCAACGGTGCTGCGCATCCGCTTGGCTTCCTCCTGAGTGGCATTCTTGCTTTCCAGATACACAGCCATGCCTGGAGTCTTGATGTCCGAGGCAACATTGAGAATTTCCTTGAGACGTGGCACACCAAGCGTAACGTTCTTGGAGGACACACCAGCGAAATGGAAGGTGTTCAACGTCATCTGAGTAGCGGGCTCACCGATGGACTGAGCAGCGAGGACGCCGACCATCTCACCAGGAGACACCATGGATCTCGCCCAGCGGTTCTCGAGCTCGCCGAGGATGTGCTCAAAGGCGAGTTTGTTGATGCGCATATCGACGGCCAGCTTCTTGAAAGCCAGGTTGGCACGAATCTGCGACTTGAAAAGGATGGTGGCGTTGTAGTTGGCCTCCTCAGAAAGCGGATCGGTTCCACGCACAGCCGTCATACGGGAGCACAATGCCTGAACTGCTGGAATCACATCCTTCGGCGTCAGGTCACTCCGTGCCGTGCTGTCGATCTGGAAGAGTTCGGTGGCATGGCGAATGATGCGCTCAATGTTCAAAGGAAGCTGCATCTTGGTCTCGCCCGCCTTGCCCTTCAGTACCTCGCGTAACAGTTTCCGATCAGCAAGAAGTTGCTCGTACTCGTCGTCCAGCAGCTTCTGCATATCGGCGTCGCTCGCAATCTCCCGGCCATACTCCAAGGCACGCAACTCCTCCTTGTTTGCTGTCTCATCCATAAGATCAATCTGATAGGCTTGGGCGAACTTGGCGTCAGTCGGTGTTACATGCTTGACACCCTGTTGCTCGATGTAAATAGCATCGAGGCCGTCCTCGCCGTAGATAAACTCGATGACATCACCGAGGGAGTTGCGCACCGTACCGTCATACATGGCGCCCACATCTTCAAGGGCCTTGACAAGACGACGTTGAATGTAACCGGTCTCAGCTGTCTTGACAGCCGTGTCAATCAGACCTTCTCTACCAGCCATGGCATGGAAGAAGAACTCGCTGGGTGTCAAGCCACGCAGGTACGAGTTCTCGACAAATCCGCGGGCTTCTGGAGAGTAGTCATCCTTGGTGAAATGCGGAAGCGTTCGATACTTGAAGCCGAAAGGGATACGCTTTCCCTCAACGACCTGCTGGCCGACCAAGGCAGTCATTTGCGAGATGTTGATGGAAGAGCCCTTGGATCCGGACCGGGACATGGTGACAGCGTTGTTGTGATCCTTCAAACTCTTCTCTGTGGTGGTACCAGCCTTGTCACGGGCCGTGTTCAGAGCTTTGGACACCTTGTTCTCGAAGGTCTCACGTACGTTCATACCAGGAAGTGCCTCAAGGGCGTTCCGTGTGGCCAAATCAGTAAGTCGCGCAACCTCTTCCTTCTCGTCATCAATGTGCTTCTGCACCTTGGCAATAGTCTCGGCGTCAGGAATCGTGTCACCAATACCAATGCTGAAACCGTTGTGCAAGAGCCAGTAATTGATGACACGCTGGCAGCCGTTGAGGAATGCCATAGCACCGTCGGGACCCAGCTCATTGAAGCACAAATGAATGATACCTCCTCCACTGGCACCGACGACCTTTTTGTTCAGGAGACCGTAGATAATCTCACCCTGTTGGATGAGACAGCCCGTATCGTGTCGAGGATAGTTCTTCTCTTTGCCACTGTCATCGGCCGGGATAGAAAGCGTCACGATCTCTGGGATAATCATGCTCGCAATCTGCTTGCCCGTCCATCGAGGACGCGGCTTGAAAATGGCAGGCTTGGGTATCACCCCATCCCAATCAGGGACCCACATCATGAGATCCATGACTTGTTCTTTGGCAATGAAGACATCGCGTCGGCACATCTTGTACACACCAGCAAGAGTGTCCTGGACGATACCCATCAAAGGACCGTTTCGCTGCGGTGAGACAATGTTCTTGGGGACCATGCAAAGCTCCATGATCTCAGCACGCGTCTCTTCCGTCTGTGGTACGTGAAGATTCATCTCGTCACCGTCGAAATCGGCATTGTACGGCGATGTCACAGAGAGGTTGAGACGGAAAGTAGAGTAAGGCATCACCTTGACTCTATGACCCATCATCGACTCTTTGTGCAGGGACGGCTGACGATTGAAGATGATGAAGTCACCATCGATCAGATGACGTTCGACCTTCCAGCCATACTCGAGCTGAATCT